CGAAAAAGTGACATGCAGCAATGGTTGCGCGAAAAAGGAATCCCGTTTGACGATTCATGTGTGAAAGCGGAATTGTATGAAAAAATTAAACAGCACAAACCTGCGAACATTAGTTACGTGACTGATGAGATGGCCCGTCAATGTGGTGTCACTGTGCTGCGGTTACCGCCCTACCACTGTGAACTGAACCCAATTGAGCTCATCTGGGCTAAAGTGAAGGGTTATATTGCGCGCCATAACACAACCTTCAAATTACCAGATGTTAAGGTTTTACTTGAGACTTCCATACAGCTAGTAACGCCCGAAGCTTGGCAGAATGCTATCCGTCATGTTGTGAAGGAAGAAACAAAAATGTGGCAGCTTGACCACCACATCGACACCATCATAGAGCCAGTTATAGTCAATTTCAACGAGGAAAGCGATAGCGACAGTTTATTACTGTCAGATGTAAGTGGAAGCGACGATGAATAAAGGTAATTCCAAATTTTTGACTTACAATATGTTTCAAACCACTCTTTATTAAGCATGTGACAAATCTAGTTCACCCATGTTAAACATTCATACCACGCCTATGAACAGCCGACTACTGGTAGTTAAGTGATGTTCACGTGAACATCGATGAGTCATTACAGTTTTAGATAGTTATAGTATACCTGAACCTGAATCCCAATCTATACTACGAGGGCGGTCCGATATGTAATTAGCCTCACCACCCGATAGCAGCACTATCGCAAAACAAGTTTACTACCCTGTAGTACATTCTCGTAGTCGGCTACTATCAAAATTTCAGCTGAATCGGACTAGTTTTGTTTTAGCCGCGTGTGGAAGCGGGCGTGTCCGCGGATTTTAGAAAATTGGAAAACGACCAATATCGATCGATGATTCGATTCTTGTTTTTGGAAGAGAAATCGCGCAGCCAAATTAATGGGCACTTGGATGCTGTGTACGGTGACTCTTCTCCTTTGATGGCAACCGTCAAAAATTGGTTTAACGAGTTTCAACGTGGTCGCACGTCGGTTTTTGATTAGCCATGCACAGGTAGCCCGAATACAGCTACCACGGAGGATAACGCGACAAAAAAGCACGATCTTGTATTGGCAGGCCGCAGATTGAAGGTGCGCGAGTTAGCTGAGCCAGTAGGCATCTCAAAAGACCGCGAGGGTCAATCCTGCTTTTGTTTCCAAACTTAAAAAAGTCACTCGCCAGGCAGAAATTTGAGTCGAATGCGAAGGTTATTGCCGCCACGGAGACCTACTTTGCAGACCTCCAGAAAACGTATGTTTCAGACGGGTAAAAGGAGTTCGAGCATCACCACTTTTCAAAAATTTTCGTTTTTGTCTTATAGGCTTAGTAGTCGTACTTATCGGACCGCTCTCGTATACTAGCCTAAGCTCGCAGCTCTGGTCGCGTGAAAATACTGTCAAATAAATGTAATATTCAAAGTAATGCAATAGTTGCTAACTGATATTTTTTCTCAACATTTTAATGCAACAATATATAAATTTGAATGTCTCCCAAGTCTGTAACCATCAAGTCTGAACCATACGAAGAGACGTAAAGATTTGGACACTTACTAATCTGTACCCGAGGAAAGTTGTAGGGATGGTTTTATCCACGAACTCATCATCAAATTTGACTAGTCTTTAAGATACCCTAACACCCGAAACCCAGCAACCACGCATTTTCTGGAAATACGGTTCTAAGAAAAGTTTTAGAATAACAAAAGTAATTTAACCATGAACTCAAATATCACCTAAAAATGGGATTCAAAGTAACTCTTCCTATAACATTCTTTCCTAATATGAATGATGTTTAGAAAAAGGATATCATCCTAAACAGTTGAAGCTGGGCTTAATTATACATCAAATCCTACTGAACGTAAAACATCATAGACCTATAAGCTCGTTACCCGCGCTTTCAAACATTCTAGAAAAAATCAAACAGAAACAATGTAGATTACACTTGAAGTAAATTAAAACACCAAACAAATCTAAATCAAGACGATCACGCAAAGAAAACGAGTGTCGAAATGCAGTAAATTATACAGGGTGATTCAAAAGTCGTGACCAAAAATGAAACATCATATACAGGATTTAAGGAGGGTCTTCTATATAACATAATTATAACTTTTGACTTGACTTTTACAAAAAAAAATGGTAGTAATAACGACAACAACCCTATAACAAATAACTTTGACACAAACTGTCTCCCAAGAAACGTTAAGTTGGTATCAAAGCCTATTTTATTTTGAGACTACTTGTATCTCGGCTCTTCAAGAATGATCTAATTTGTTTAATTTTTTTTTACGAAAACAGTGCACTCTAGGGAAAAACACAAGAGTCATTATTTGTATCAAATTGAGGGTGAACTTAAAAAAAAATGCGCGTTTCGAAAAAAACAGTGGCGTACTATTATTATTCGGAAAAATAATGCCACTAATCCCCTACATTTCCGCCACTGGTGCACGTTAATTTTAAGTAAACACTTTTGAATGTAGACAATACTTAGGTATGAAGATATTTAAAAAAATTATATATTTTTTTATATTTAAACTTCAACCCCGTATCTTTTTAATGAAGCCCTTAAGAAAAAAATTTTACATAAATACCCCCCCTTAAAATATGTTCCTCTATATGAAGTTTTTGGTCACGACTTGTGAATCACCCTGTATATACTCCTTAATCATTTCGGTCTGACCAGCGACTGAGCGCTTTCGCATTAGACACCTCTTGTAAAATTTCATCAAGCAATTTGGACTGTAGCCCGTGAAATAGGTATTTCTAATTTATTTCCCGGTATTAAAAATAGCCTATGTGGTATTAGAGACCATAATATATCTCTGTTTGAAATTTCATACATATCCATTCAGTCATTGAGCAATAAACATCCACAGTTTCTCATTTACGAGTATATTATTAGTAAGGATATTACTAGGGATTCCGGTGCCCCAAAAGATCCTAGCTCCATCTATGAGCCAGTAGCAGAACTAAAGACCCTAACTCTTTTCAAGGTGAATTTCTAAAATCATTTTTTTCTTCTGTAAATGTAACCTGTATACGTTTTTACGGATGAGCGCATTCGTAACAATGAGTATGTTTAGTGAACAACTTGACAGTTGCTACTACTCACTAATTTTCGAGAAGTAGTTACTTTAAATAAGCCATTGTTCTAAAAAATTGAAAAAAAAAGATAATTTCGTGGGATACAGTATTACCGAATATCACGCTGTTGTTTTCTTGGATCGAAAATATATTTTGGAAGCTAGGCCGCGTCACCACGAGGAACTCAACCGTGTACCCTAAACACCCAATTAACTGAGTCGTTAACGCTGATATTTGTTAAATCCCTATAGAAGCTTCTTGGAAGAGGGCTGAACGCTTGAGTGACGAAGGGCCTACTTCAGACAACTGGAGATCGATACAATGGGAAAGTTCAGCCAACGTGCAGCGCTTCTAAGGTAAGTAGCAGCAGCCATGGTATAACTTTGTCAGTTTGGCAGCAGTTTTTACCTGGCTGTCAGATTTGATACGCGGTCTGTAAATTAAGTGATGATACTTGTTTTTTCATTTTTTTATCAAATATAATTACAGTTATGTTCCGTCCTCGTCGAAGTAAATATTTAGAATACATATCGTAGTACCCTCGTAGTAGTACCCAACCGCCACGATTTCAAAGCGCACTCGCAGAGAAGGAAAGCGGCACAGCGCCCCTTCCCCCTACCCTTTTCCCCTCTGACCGCCAATAAACCTTCATTTACTTCAAAGCCAAGTTTTTGCAACAATTGGGTGATACATAGGGAGGGAGGCAGCCTTTTATTTCGACGAGGACTTCACATAATTAAGATCGAACATCACTTACAGGTAAGTTGGTTTGATCATGTAATTATGTTCCGTCCTCGTCGAAGTAAATATTTAGAATACATATCGTAGTACCCTCGTAGTAGTACCCAACCGCCACGATTTCAAAGCGCACACGCAGAGAAGGAAAGCGGCACAGCGCCCCTTCCCCCTACCCTTTTCCCCTGTGAAGGCCAATAAACCTTCATTTACTTCAAAGCCAAGTTGTTGCAACAATTGGGTGATACATAGGGAGGGAGGCAGCCATTTACTTCGACGAAGACTTCAAAAAATTAAGATCGAACATCACTTACAGGTAAGTTCGTTTGATCATGTGATTATGCTCCGTCCTCGTCGAAGTAAATATTTAGAATACATATCGTAGTACCCTCGTAGTAGTACCCAACCGCCACGATTTTAAAGCGCACACGCAGAGAAGGAAAGCGGCACAGCGCCCCTTCCCCCTACCCTTTTCCCCTCTGACCGCCAATAAACCTTCATTTACTTCAAAGCCAAGTTGTTGCAACAATTGGGTGATACATAGGGAGGTAGGCAGCCATTTACTTCGACGAGGACTTCACAAAATTAAGATCGAACATCACTTACAGGTAAGTTCGTTTGATCATGTGATTATGTTCCGTCCTCGTCGAAGTAAATATTTAGAATACATATCGTAGTACCCTCATAGTAGTACCCAACCGCCACGATTTCAAAGCGCACACGCAGAGAAGGAAAGCGGCACAGCTCGCCTTCCCCCTACCCTTTTCCCCTCTGACCACCAATAAACCGTCATTTACTTCAAAGCCAAGTTGTTGCAACAATTGGGTGATACATAGGGAGGGAGGCAGCCTTTTATTTCGACGAGGACTTCACATAATTAAGATCGAACATCACTTACAGGTAAGTTGGTTTGATCATGTAATTATGTTCCGTCCTTGTCGAAGTAAATATTTAAAATACATATCGTAGATGTTCAAACGTCGCAGTAGTAAACGATAGGTTGTGCACAACTACACAAATTGTACGCAATGTATGTGTCAACTAAATGTACATTTCCATTGTACAATTCAGGTTAAGGCTTTTAGCAACAGGTAATATGACGTACCTGGTTCAAAAATTACCATCCATTTCATGGTAATTAGCAAATAACGTAATAACATAGTTATGTTTAAGGTGTGGAGACTTGGTTCACCTCAAATGCCGCTTGAGCAAAGCTATTGTTTGGCATAAGAGATTTGTGACGTATCTCAGAAAACGTATTCCAGCCCGCCGAGAGCCTGAGACTACTATAATTTAGCAGGCGGAGAGGTAGACGCATTTCATGTACTGTGGGTTGACCACCATTTGTTTGCCAAAAGTCATCACCGAGCTTCAAAGAATTAACCCCGAAGAACCATCCTCCACAACGACAATGCAAGCTCGCACACAGCCCAAAAAACAAGGCAGTATTTAACGGAAGAAAACGTGGAATTATTGGACCATCCTCCATATAGTCCCGATCTAAGTCCTAACGATTTCTTTACTTTCCCGAAAATTAAAAACAGACTGCATGGTCAAAGGTTCCAGTCACCAGAAGAAGCAGTTGACGCATTCAAAAATGCCGTTTTGGATCTGCCAGTAAACGAGTGGAATAAGTGCTTCGAAAATTGGTTCGATCGCATGCAGATGTGTATTAATCTTCGTGGAGGATACTTCGAAAAACAATAAAGTCATTTAAAACTACCTACCGTGTTGTTCTATTTCCATATGCAAAACTTAAAAGACATCCCTCGTAGCTTAGGCAGCTGCCGCTTTGCCGCGCTGAATCTTTGTTGTGCCGGAGAATGGACTACGAATAGGGTATAGGTGCTTTACGACATCGATATATGACATCAAAGGCGGTATTTTGCTCAGGATATCAGTACACTGATAATGTCATCGTTATTCGAAAACCGTAGTCACGTCACGACTTCAAATAACTAATATCAAACATTAACGATATCAGATATCACAAATATTCAAAAATAACGATATCAGCTATCTCTACAGCGAAACCTTGAGCAGATATTTTCCTGTTGTCCTGGGTTATTATCAGAAACCATTTCAGGAATAACAAATCGCAGAATGCTGATAATCGGCAGAGGGAGTATCTCAACGTTTTAAGCCGTCAAAATACACGTTCTGATTACTTTACGTGATTACTAGAATCACGATCGCATACAATTTGTCTGCTTTAGGTCTTTCGTATTATCATTTATTTATTTTTTTGACCGCATTGGTTTTTGCCGGCTTCAATTAGGATTAGGTTACCTAGTAAAAGTCGTCAGCAAAGTAGTGGCGGCAGATCACAAAGAGTTGTCATCCATTTGTCATCCACTTTTTCTGAGGCTTTAATATCAGGAGTGCTTCAAGGGTCGGTTCTTGGACTCCGATCTTGATAAGTTTGTTAAATACTGCAATATTCAGTTTTTTGCGGATGACTCGCAGTTATACAATAATTTTAATACAGGCAATATAATAATTGCTGAGGCTCAAATTAATGATGATTTGAGATCTATATATCTCTGCCCTACTGAGCGAGGGCCGTGGCAAATGCTTGTTCCGGAAGTCGTTGTATCCAGTATACAACTTCCTCCCGTCCAAGTGATTGCGCACGCGTTAAGGAATACCTCAGTACCGACTGCCGGGTGGCGGTACAAGTCCGCCAACGGGCCACTTTAGGTCTATTTAACATCACTAATACGTAAAAAGAAGGTGGTAGACAAGGACCAGTCGACCGAGGCAGTACCACCCGCTAGCTTTTCCCAGGGTGTCTTATAAATGTCCGCATGTTTCCACACCTAAGCTATGCAGTCGGTTATCTACCAAAACAAAGAAATTAATGATGATGGATCCCTCGAGCATTCGACTCAAAGGCCAAGGCGGAAGTGCTAGCCAAGATCTTTGCTGCCAACTCCACCATGGACGTCCCCACCAACGCCCAAGTGCCGTCAATTCAAAGGGTTCCCCACACTATGCGGGAGGTAACATTCAGGCATAAGACCGTAAGACGAGTGCTCTTGTCGCTCGACATCAACAAAGCTTCTGGTCCGGACTTGATTCCTGCCATTGTACTGAAGAGATGTGCAGCTGAGCTTGCTCCAGTTCTTTCGCGTCTCTTCCAGATATCTTATGAATCCGGCACCTTCCCAGAAAACTGGAAATTTGCTCATGTACAGCCCATCCCAAAAAAGGATCTAAAACCGACCCTTACAACTACAGGCCTATAGCTCTGCTTTCTGTTATAAGTAAAGTGATGGAGAGGTGCATAAATCGCGAGCTTCTGGACTACCTCGAACGTCACAGCTTGATTAGCGACAGGCAGTACGGTTTCCGGCACCAACGATCCACAGGGGACCTCCTAGCTTACGTCACGCAACTGTGGAGTAAACTCATCCAGTCTCATGGTGAGGCTCATGTCGTTGCTCTTGACATCACGAAAGCGTTCGATCAGCTGTGGCACGCTGCCCTCTTGAGCAAACTTCCATCCTACGGCCTCCCAGAAAAGCTTTGCAGATGGGTGGCTGACTTTATCTCTGGCCGCAAGATATCCGTCGTAATTGACGGATTCTCCTCTTCATCCCACAACGTCAACGCGGGTGTTCCCCAGGGATCGGTCTTGGCTCCAACACTGTTTTTCTTACATATCAACGACCTCCTTTCCTGCACGATCAACCCAATCCACAGCTTCGCTGATGACAGCACTCTACATGCAGGAATTCAGAGTGACAAGCCGATCTCTGCCGCTGAGCTGGAAAAAAGAAGACTAGCGACGACTTCTTCTCTGACAAGAGACCTGGAGGCTATCACTGCTTGGGGACGCAACAATCTTGTACAGTTCAATGCTTCCAAAACACAGTACTGTACTTTGAGGAACAAAAAGCGTCCTAGCGCTCATACAGTTTCGATGGACGGTCGAGTTCTACCAAAGAGCCATTCATTTCGGCTGGTCGGAGTCCAGATCACCGAGGACCTGATCTGGCACGAACACATCTCTTCAATAGCTGCAGCTGCTGGGAAAAAGCTAGGCTATTTGTTTAGGGCTAAGAAGTACTTTTCTCCGCATGACCTTCTCACTCTATACAAGGCCCAGATAAGGCCTAGCCTCGAGTATTGCTCACACATTTGGGGTGCTGCCGCCCCGACTACATTGTCCATGCTCGATGCTGTCCAGAGGAGGGCGGTCCGACAGTTCGATGACTCTTCTCTAACAGACAGTCTCGGGACTCTTTCGCACCGGCGGGCCGTCGGCGATCTAGCTCTTTTCTATCGCTACACCAACGGGCTTTGCTCCTCAGAGCTCTCTTCCATGATGCCGCCGCGCGATGTGCCTGCCAGACAGACCCGCCTGACTTCGGCGTCCCATCCTAACCGTGTCAAACTTCGTACATCCAGAACTGGCCGATACGACCGCTCCTTTGTCCCGAGGGTGTCTAGATTGTGGAACAAACTACGGGAGGAAGTTTTTCCCAGTTCTACTAACCTTAGGCAGTTCAAAAATCGTATTAACAAAATTTCTTTGGGATCATCATAGCAGCCGCGGTGTTCCGGCATTTAGGCTTCTGCCTGCGCGGCTGTTTCGATATAAGAAAAAAAGACAAGTATGCAAAAATTCATAATCTTAGATTAAATCCAGAAAAATCAAAAGGAATTCTATTCTCTCCAAAAAAATGTGGAAATTAAATTAAGAAATATTCGGCTATATCATTAAATGGTGGAATTATGATGTAGAACTGTAAAAAATCTAAGCATATCTCTTGCTGAATGTCTGAATTTTACTCCTCATATGAACAATGTTACAAAAAATTGTTTTTCAGTACTTCGGCAATTATATTTGAACAAACAAATTCTCGATCATAAAACGGAAGGAATTCTCTGTGAGTTATCAATTGAAGGGTACAGGGGCAAAACAAGAAATGTAGCAAAAATGCAAAAATGAGATAATGATGGAAACGTCTGCATTTTCCTGTGTAATTTCATTGGGTATGAATCAAAAAGCGTAAAAACCAGGGTAGTCCATAATTTCGCCCAAGTTTCTATGTGTGTACAGGCACAAAACAGGGAATGTCCTTACGTAACAGAACGTAAGAAGGAATGTCCACCTGTCAGTTGCCAAACAATTAACTTTGTGGTTAGGTAAAATTGTTTTAATCGACAAATTACCACGTTGTTATTTATGAGATAAGGATTTTGGGTTTATTAAGAGATAGTATGGATAAAAAAAAGAGAAAGAAAACGGGAAGAATTCGTGATTTAATGAAGACGTTGAAAATGTCTACTCATGAGCCGGGAGACGATTGTAGGTTTAAAACACTAAAGTGTTTTGAAAGGTTTCCACTGGTTGGCCGTGTTAAAATATTAAAAGACTTTAACAACCTGAACAGCACTGATGAACAAAATATGTATTTATGTGGTTTAATTACCGTGTGTTCAATAAAGAGGAGGTGAAGTACAAAGGCTGAGGTACATGCCCATTTTCACCAAACTTGTTTTACCTACAAAGTAAGAGTGAAAAAAGATGACGTTTTAAAAGAAATACCTGTTTGCTACAAGGCCTTTTTTGAAATCAACAGGCAATGCGCCATGTGATAAAAGAGACAAATCAGGCTCTCACAAAAAGTTGAACTACAGCTTGAGTGATACCAAAAAAGAATATTTACCTGAAGACCTGAATATAAAAAAAATATTCAAGATGTATTTGGATCAATACCCACAACCTGAAAATTATTATTCTTATGAAACCTACAGAAATATATTTAACACAGAATTTAACATCATTCCGTTACCCACGTACAGTTACTTGTAGTGCCTATGATGAATTTCAAATAAAAGCGAATGCACTGGTGACGGAAAGAAATAATGATGAGCTGAAACGTTTAACTATCCTGAATAATTTGCACAAGAATCGATGATGATAGGAAGAAAAATGCTAGAATCAAAAGCAGGACGGATGCTGAATTTCAAGCTATTGCCATAGACTATCAAAACAATGTCTCACTCTACTAATGATGTGTATTATAAACGCCAGTTGTCAATCTACTCATTTAATTTACATGTCTTAAGTGATGCTAGTTCCTACTTTTACACCTATCCTGAAATATGTGGTCGCAAAGGTTCAGATGAAGTGGTTTCACTTCTATTCCACTACTTGACAAACTACTTTGATCGATATTTGGAAATATATTGCGACTCAGCAGGTGGACAGAACGAGAACTATACTGTAGTACGGTTTATTCACTTTGTGGTCCATAGAATGAAACTTTTGGATTCGATAACAGTAACTTATCCTATCCGTGACCATTCATACTTAGAATGTGGCAAAATATGGGCTTGGTTAATCTAAAAAACCCCATGGAAGTTCTATATCAGTGGTATGATGTCCTCAGAATAAGTCGCCAAACCGCTTGATGTGATTGAAGTGGGGATGGGTGAAATCATCAGGAAGTTCACTAACGTTTTCCAAGATATAATAATAATATATATTTATTTCCAACAGGTATACACCCAATCACAGGAAATCAAAATAAAATGGTACCATATATGCACATGTATACACACACATATATATATATATATATATATATAGGTGAAAAATTAAAGCTTCCGACTTTTGTTGGGTACTTCGACAAAATTTAAGCAAACAGGACTCTTTATACTTTAGCTCTCTAGCTTTCAATGGACTTTGCCATCATCATCAGGAGCTGCAATTACAATGATGGCAAAGTCCATTGAAAGCTAGAGAGAATTAAAAAAGTATAAAGAGTCCTATTTGCTTAAATTTTGTCGAAGTACCCAACAAAAGGCGGAAGCTTTAATTTTTCACCTAACTGGTCTAGACGACAATGACCACGTCTCAAAAAAAAAATATATATATATATACACATACATATATACACATATACAGGGTGACTTTGAAGTTGAGTCATTAATTTTCAGATAATGATTATAGAAGGAAGATAAACCAAAATATGTGTGTAAAAATAAAAAAAAATAAAAAAAAAATGTTACCTTGTTTTATAAAGTATCCTCCCGACAAGTATTTCAGTGCGGACCTGTATTTGTTCGTGCGGTCTTGGAGCACCGGCATGCCCTCCCCTGTGAGGTCTTAAGTCACCTGATTCACGAGCCCTTTGTACTACATTAACAAAGGCACGAGGGGTTGGTTGCACTCGATTAAATAAGAATCATGTCCACAAGTTCACAAGTTCAGCATTTTCGTAAACATGTGCCATTTTTTATTTCATTTGAGCCACGCAACAAACACCACTATTCACTCACGCGTTACCGACTGAAACATTGACTGACATCGTGATAAACGTTTCAAATTCTTTCGCTTTTTTGTTTCCGATGCGGTGAACCGATAAGGCGGAGTATATCCGTTGTTGCCAAACACGAGCACATAATATTATTACTGAGACAGGGCGGTACTCAAACTTCTAAAGGGCTATAACTTTGTTAATTTAATTTTACCAGAAAAATGTTAAAGGAAAAAAACATTTCATTTGATCAGATCTACTCACTGTTAAAATAAATGACTCAACAATATATATAGACAATGAATCAGAAAATAATGACAAGAAAAAAGAAAATAGAAAAACATTAGTGATCTGAATGAACAAATAATACATAGGTGTTTGAATAATTAAACACTTCCACTAAAAAAGAGAAGAAAAAAAACATAAAAGTGCTCCAATTGAAGAATAACAATAACTGACACCATCAACAAAACGATTTTATCTCAATTGCTCCCTGTAAATGTTTAATATTTTATTAAGACTGTCATGACATACATCAGCTCTGTTACAGATTGAATTGAATAAGGTACACATTACCATTACTGGGGATCTGCATAAAATATTCGTCCGTGGTGTATCACAGTAAAATATGTGATTATGCCGACCAACTAATCTGGGAGCATGAAAATTAATCTTACTCAGTAGGAACCCACAATCAATATGATTATTCATTAACTTATAAACACAATACACAATAACCCATCAACCGTGATGCAGATGATACAATATCTGATATGTGATCGTTAAAAGTGAGTTTGTTATCGAACACTACTCCCAAGTCTTTAAAACTTGAATCTCTTCCTAAAACGCTTTCATTAAGGTTATAATTGTATATGATGGGGTCCTGCTTCCGACTATACGACACCACTTTGCATTTTTTGACATTTAACGTTAGCAGATTTCTGTTGCACCATTCATATATGAAGTCAAGCTTGCTTTGCATCTCCACACAGTCACTCGAAGAGTGAATTGGCGAAAATATCTTCAAGTCGTCAGCAAAAAGCAAGTGCATACAGGTTAGCTTCAAAGACAGATCGTTAATGAAAATAAGAAATAACAAGGGTCCTAGGTTCGAACCTTGCGGAACTCCAGCTGTTGCTGTATAAATTTTGGACTTACTTCCACCAAATTCAACATATACATGAAAAAGTGCTATTTCCCAATCCAGTCACAAAGAGAAATAATGAGCATAAGACATCATCCAGGTTTAATTTTGCCCCGAACTAACTACAATGGCTTGTGGGAAAAGTCACCTATATTGAGTAGACAAAGGAGGATCCAGCACGAATCTTCATTTAGCAATCAGTTTGAATTATCAGATTTTGCCTACAAAGATTATCTACCCATTAGTGCAGAGAAGTATGAAGACCTTATGTACTTAAAAAAAATTTGTTCTACTGGAGCTAAGGCCTTCTTTGGTAGCATTACTCATGTATAATTAATAACATTAATTGGTTTCAAAGATTCGTTGTTTTGGATGTGATGGACATTCCTTGCTTTTGTACTTCAAATAATCACTGATTAACAGCCAAAAAATATCCTAAATAAAATCAACAAAATATTACTATTTTTAATGTGCTAAAACCGGAATGAAACTTATTTTTTCAATATTAGTTCAAGTTTTAGAGATACGGTAATTATATGTGTTGCTGCTGTGACAGTGTTAATATACTGTAATTCACAAGAATGCACGTGCTACATTTTTATATTCGGCAAGGAAAGATGATGTAATCGGCATGATTGTGTTACGTTATACATACGTGTACATTACATTGTTTTATATTAGCCATTTTTTCCTCAGTTGGCTGACAGCGTTTATGCAAGATGTCTCGAAAGTGTGTAAACAATCCATATCAGTTTTGTTACGTGTGTGGTGATGTGACTTTTGCGTCTCAGAGACGGTCTATTACTCCACTAATAACAAAGGCATATCAGCTTTATTTCGGTTGTAAACTGGGTGATCAAGACACACAGTGGGCACCCCACATCTGCTGTAATACATGTGCTTCAAGTCTGCGGATCTGGTTAAATGGTAAAAAACGGTCTATGCGCTTTGCTGTCCCAATGGTTTGGAGAGAGCCTACAAATCATATTAATGATTGTTACTTTTGCATGGTACTTTGTGTTGGACAAGCCACAGGTATGTCCAAGAAAAAAAAATCGGTTATTAACTACCCAAACATACCATCTGCGATGAGACCTGTGCCTCACAGTGACGAAAATCCTATTCCAAAACCCC